TTCAGTTCTGAGATTTTTCTTGGAATTCTTCACGTGATCTTGATAGAATCAAAATTTCTCTCTCAAACTAAAGGTGACTTAAACAGTACCCATCTTCATAAGGCAGGTGGCTGGTATATGCACGTGGCTAAACTTTACAGAAACTTGCCAGGGTCTCCAACCATCCTCCTTTCTCATCCGGGCATAGGACTGGCAACGGAGGAGTTATGTCGCATCCGTTGTCAAGGTTAAAATTTTCGAGAAAATGGATGATTGATGCCTCCATGTTCTGTTTGTTCATCCTCAGACGATAGATCAGAGGAGCAATTTCTTCCCGTGGTGCATGCTTTAAAATCCCTTCCTATTGCTCCTTAATTTTTCGGGAGGCGAGCCCTTGTATTCTTCGCGAATGCTTCGATACCACATTCATTGCTCGATGGTCGTGAACAATTTTTACAGCTAGGCAGATGAATCTTTGTTGAGTGTTAGTAGTCCTTCTTTCCCACATTTGCATGATAATTTGTTTATCCAGCTTAGAGAATTACCTATCACTAAATCATTTAATACATGCTCATCACAACTCATATACTACGTCAATGTTATAATTCGTTAAGAATGCTTTGTAACTTTTCAATAAAGCTTTTGTGAATGCACTTCTCCAATATTATAAAAAGATACCAAGTCTACTAATCACAGAGATTGGCATGCTAAGCTCACTTAGCGGGAATCACCTGCGTTCAAAATCAGTCATCTAGCATTGGTAACAATGAAAAGAATGGCAGAGGAGCCAATGCCCTCGCATTTTGTGTGGAATTTATAGAGCGTATATGAGCAAAAGTGAAGTACCAACGCCTACGTTGCTTGGAGAATCGAATTTTATTTGTCTAATTTAGTTGAACCAGAGATTACAATTTACTACGATTATGCCTTGATTGTTCTTGAGAAGCAGCAACATTAAATTTCATTGCTTTTGACTTGAATGCGTCACATAAAAACTCGCAGATATCAGTGAAAAATAACGAGGTCTTCAAAGCTATCACATTCTATCATTTTTCAGGAGTCAGTTTCCATAGAAAGTTGTACCGATCGCTGTTAAACGAATCGTCGATCGTATCTTGCTGGTCCATCTTTTGTTTAACTCCTTTACGCTGAGATAATCTCTCCCTGCGTTCCTCGTCACTGAGCGTCATCGGATCTAACGGAAGCTGAAAAAGGTTATTCATAAAGGATATATCGATATTCATCGTCAAACATTGACCTTGATACCTGTATGATCTTCCGCGGTTCCCTGAAACGAATACTGTAACAGTTGCCGTTAGGATTCACTAGCAGAACCGGATAGAAGCGATGATATAACGTGCGCCTGATTTTACCTATGCTAGCCCTGTAGCAATTGAATCTAGCAGTATGGATGGCAACAGAAAATGATTTTAGCAACAGATAAGGATGAGACATCGAAATCTAAAATCCAAAACAAAACTAAACTTAGTGAGAGGCCAATAAGTCAGGCGCTAAAAAACCAGCATTAATGCAAACGACTTTATGTATTTGAAGTTGGAGATCAAATTCATGCATGCAATCTAATTCTTTGCAAACTAATGCGTCTGAAAATGATATTCAATCTTTCCTGCCTGTGTGCAAGTAGCGAATAAAATAGTAGCAAATCGACGAGCCACAAGTATTTGGTACCCTTAAGCGAGCGATTGAGAGCTGATAAGATTAAGGATAATATCATTTGAAGCGGAAGCCTTAAAGAGCCGCGAAATACCTTTGCTCACCTTTTTACTGACCAGTTACCTGAAACCTACAGCCCAAAAACAATCCTTAAAATGAAACGATCAACTGAAAGCTGATTGTTCAGTGGTCTTTCGAAACTTGCAATTTTATCCTATCGCAGCAAATAATCGCTTGCTAATTTACCTCAACCTCTATCGCGCAGAGCAATCAAATTTCATGAAAGCTACTTCTCATATTCCAAAATGCAAGTTTATCTAGAAACTTGTCATACTGTCAAACGGTCACCCCGTTCTCCAGGGGATACATTTATAAGAAAAAAATACTAATACATGTCATAAAAAATTTAGATTCGTATATACATGAAAGTGATACAGATTAAATGAAACTGGTTCACCGCCTTGCGATGAAATTAAAAGTATGACTGACAGCGTAAGTGACTAATATAATTTAAATTTATAAAGTATGAAAATAGAGATCGATTGACAATCAAATATTAACCAAAATATTGGGAATGAACGATTGGTGTCAAACTCATCAACCATCTACAGAATATTCAGAACCACAATCAAACTTCCTTACTCTTTGTTTGCTCCACATCTGCCTTCTTACGTGAGTCTTACCATTGCTCGAAAACATGTTCACATTGAATCATAAAACTAGAAATCGTGTATATTTTACGTTTCCTTGTACGTATTTTCAGCATTTTACCTTGTCAGTCACACAGTATTTTAAAAGGAAGTCTAGCTACAAATAAAATAAAATGCGGACGTAAACAGCATGAATATATCGTAGAACTGATTTGATGCTTGAGGGTCTTCTGGCAAGTTCTTCCCGTCTAAATTCTCAGATCAAGTTTCTACTTTTCTGATAAATGAGTTGTCGGTATATGAAAATGTGCCAGACTGTAGTTACTGAGAGAAAAAAAACGCCGGAACGAAGAGATGAAGTGTATTTACTGTAGTCACTCTTGCAGTCGTGCAAACAAGGCATATTCGAGTCTGAGGATCTCAGATTACAAAGCAACAGCAACAAAGTTGTCACCATGCCGCTGCTGTAAATTTACTTGATGTAAAAGCGAGATGATTGGCAGAGATGACCAGTAGTCGCATTTACCGATTACAAATTCGATTTGTTACACTCAGATGAACCTACTAAGTGTAAGGTGCGGTGAAATGAGTTAAACTAAAATATTAATTGCTTCAAACCAAAGAAATGAAAAACCTAATAATAAAATTAGTAATGAACTACTGATCAGTGTCAGTTTTGATGATCGTTAATCCTTTTGGGTCCCGGAAGCAGAAACGTCAGACAATATTTTCAACGTTCCAGATTCTATGCCAGCATCTGGGCTTCCACATAGAGCATCCCAAATCTAGAGCAGAGTACGTCGATTAACTTGCTCAAGCTTAGTTTAGCCCATACGCTAGGTCTTCAGTCGAACAAGTACGCAGCTATTTCGTATTTCTTTCAGGAAACATTCGAAACACGTGTCGAAACAATCACAACCGTGACTTTTCAACCCAAAATTTCTGCGACTGCACATCAAGGCTCTTTGGGATGTGCAACGGCGGATCATGCCGATACGCAGGAATCCAGCAGTTCTTCTCAAAATATCGCTTGCACTGATCGGAATCGAAGTTTTACAATCATGGCCTGCTATTTATGACCGTGAGTCAGCATTGGGCTGAAAATCGTCGTAAACTGCAACAATTTTTACACTCAACTCTGCTGCAATCACAACCATTCAGACTAGTTCGTGTAGAATTGTGCCGGATGCTGCAATTCGCAATCGGCATTTTTCTCCCGTTTTCCACCTCTAGTAAACATGATCTTCAAGTATGTGAATTATTCTACGTGTTCCCCTGCTGCTCCGAATATCTGCATATCGCGGTGGGAGGAATGAAAGAAAAAAATTTTTTGATTTTGTTAACAGATGGTTGCCTGTCAAAAGCCAAAATGACAAAGAAGCAGGTTTGGAAAGAGTGGTGAGGTCCTCCACAAAGCCTTTCCATTTGCCCCTCATGAAGCATAACTTTAATTACAGATGCTGAAAACGCAGCTGTTTTCAATTACTTAGGTACAACTGGAATAGCTCACATCTAAGGGTCATAAACCTAAGCTTAAACACCTAGTGTTGGCTTCTGACCCGATGATCAACTCCACCTATGATATGACATAAAAACAATTTAACAAGCTTGAAACAAACATAATACAAACCAACGATAAATGCAACTGCACGTGGACAAAATAGGCAGATGACTCCGCTTCAAGTCTAACACAAATTAAAAAATTTACTTCGTAATTACATGATAACCGTGTACAAAAAGAAAGGAAATCGACAGAAAAAATAAATACGGCAGGTCTATAAATATGCAATAAAACACTAAGAGTTGCATCATCGCATACCGGTATAACAAAAAATGTAAATATTCGCTATGAGAAAAATTAGTTCGAAAAAGCGGACACGAAACAATCCTCAATAAATTTCAAGTGACATAATAACATCAACGAGATATTACAGAAGATATAAAAGACCGGCAAACAAAGCAGTTAACGTGTTAACAGAAGTTTCACAGGACTGCAATTGCCTAAGGTAGAGAAAACAGTAAATAAGAACTTATTGCGCACAGTCCAACAATCGATCTTTCAACGAATTCCGGTAAGTCCATCGTTCCCTCACTTCGTAAAATGATACGGGCACCCACGGAAGATTATTCTTCATTCGCCGTTTTGCCTCTTCCCTTTGCTGCTGTTCCAACCAGAACTTACATCGAGTCGCCTTGTGGACGTCCCTTTCCTTAAGAGCTGCAGTGACGTACCGCCAAAGCCTAAATTTAAGTTCCGACTACAATTTAAATTTAAACAGATTTTCTCTTGTGTACAAATGAATTTACTCTGTTATGACTCTCTATACATGTTTACTACGGTATCATCTAAACCCGAAAAACAGTTTTTGAAGCCGAAACAAATTATGATTTAAGTCAAGATCTTTGGATGAAAGAATGTTGGAGACGGACAGACAAACGTGCAAATCACCTAAGGGAAACAAAGAGATGTCCCTGCAAATAGAGGCGATCGTCCAGTGCAACAACATATCAGTCACCATTCAAAGCGATGATTTAAATCTGAAGTCAGCACAATAAACAGAAACGGATAAAAATTAAAAGATTTTCGTAAACACAAATAACTTTGTAACCATCTGTGATTAAACAGAAATTTAAAGCATAAAAAAGAATCCGGTTAGATCATCAGATGAAATGCAAAACGGCAATATCTTTAAGCGTCTAGCTTTTTAGCAAGGATATCTACTTTAAAAAAGGGCACTCAAGGACTGTTTTTAACTGGAAGGGTGCGAGAAAAACCACTAATTTAGTTGTGCGCAGTTTATAAATTCTAGAATCACGTAGATAAAACAACGGCTTTAAATAGGTGCAGTGTAAAATGAATAAGTCTAAAGTTAGGACCAAAAGTAGGAATCTTAACATAAACTACATTTTTTGGAGAACTATCAAACACAGGTCACCCTTTACACACAAGGTGGATTTAAGCTGAAAGTGAAAGCTGAGGTGAACAGGTACATAAATGCTGTCGACGCCTGCTTCATACAAGTTCTGAGTGTTAACAGTACAGAATTAGGCCAGTCTAGACCAGTTTTAGAGAAATAATCTATGACATTCCATGAAAAGAATAAAGAATTGAAAAGCTGTATCCCCAGAGGTGCTCGCATTGTTTTCGCTTCAGATGGCTAATTCCATCTGTC